TGTCAAGTTTATTTAAACATTAGGTGACCTTAATAGCAACATAATAATTTTTAAAAGCAAATGTGCCCAAATTAGATAACAAGAATGTGTAGCTCAGATTTTAAATGCAAAAAATTTCAAGCTTTCCTATTCTAATATCAAAATAATTGGCATGGTGTCCAGGGTTAATTAATCCAAATTTTTGACTACAATCAAAGATCAATCCATTGTTATCCTTGTATTTTAATAAAAGATCCGATTCTGGGAACCTCATAAGATATGAATGGGGCAGAGATGGATAATATTACAATTTATCAGCGCTAACAAGCACCTAAACAAATATCAATTTTATTCCTATAAATGTACTTCTTTTCCTCTATTTGCACTTATTTATCTTCACTTCTGCACTATAAGCTCTAGCAAGACACTGGAGACCTGGCAACAATCCAAGCTGCAGATGGTTGGCAGTGCAGCCTGAAATCAGTGTGCGGTTGATGAAATAGTCCTTACACCTGACCCTTGCTTCACACCAGGCACAAAACACAAACTGAACATAACTAGCCAGAAAAGCTTTCTGAAGCATCTTGCTATTTGGAACTCTTCCTCAAGGCATTCTGAAAAGACAGATGGCCAAAAGCAGCAAAAATGTAGTAAACTGAGAAAGGAGCATTTGAATATAAGGAATGGCCGAGAAGCAAACAAATAATTGGGGGGTGGGAAAAGGTATTTTTTAAGAGTAACACAGGAAAAGTTTCTTGCATTTCACACAAGGACAAATGTATTACATGAATGTAAAAATGGATTTAACTAAAATATGTCAGAAGGCTAATACCTTAAATTGCAAGCCTGTAAAAAAAAATGATACAGTATTTTAAAACTATCATTATATAAATCTTATTCCAATTTTTTTTTTTTTAACAAAATCACCTCTATGTGGGAATAAGCAAATTTGATTAAAATGTCTATAAGGGAGAATATTTGTAGCTCAGGGTTGAATGGGGAGTCCTTGGTGCTCTCTGAGCTTGGTTGTTCTCTTGTAGACATTTCATTACCCAAACTAGGTAACAGCACTGATGATATTACCTAGTTTAGGTAATGAAACGCCTGCCACAAGACAACCAACCCCAGAGAGCACCAACGACCCTCATAGATTAAAATATTTATTCTAAAGTAAAAAAATAATAATAATTGGGGGGATAAACAAATGAAAATAATAATAATTAAATTTATTTATTTTATTTATTTTATTTTATTTATGTATACTATTATTTAATATAAATAAAAAATAAATATTGAAATGCAGTTGCAATTTTCTGTATCAATTTATTACTTTTTTTATTTCAAATACATTTCAAACATATTTTGTAAACTTTTCTGCTGAATGTGCATAATATATGATGCTTATACTGTCAGATAGATTAAGTAGTATCTTAATTTTTCCAATATATTAAACATGTGGTATTTTCTTTTATGCACTTTCTTTGTAAAGTTTTGGTTAGCCAATCAGAATAAAATCATGACTTATTATAATATTCAAATTATACCAGTGAATCAAATTTCCGATCCATTCATAAATAAATGTAATGTAAAGCATAGTATCTGATTTGGTTCATTGGTAAAAAAAACAAAAAACCCCTTCCATTTGCAAAACTAACTTAGCTCCAATAATGATTTAAATGCAATCACTTCACAATATATAAAAAGTTAAGTCCTTTTGTTAGCTAGCAAAGAAGTTCCAAGAATAATCTCTTTTATGATTACCAGAATTTTTTTTTATTTATTGCTAGAGTTTAGCAACCCAACTACAAAATATGTTGATGTTTTGAATTAACAATCCATAAACCAGTTTTAAATTTTATATTTTTACAACAAGTTTAAATAAAGCATGTAGTAACCAATACTTCTATTGCATTGAGACCATTCAAATTTTTTTAAAACATGATTTTGTAATCTAATAATGTACTGTAATGTATTATATAATGGTCACAAAATGTGTTTGATGAGATTCATTTCATGTTTAGGATCACTATTTGCAATATTAAAAATCTGGCCATAGTGTTAATAAAATTTCAAACTCACTTTACTATAGTCTGACGGTTTCACATCATACTTATATTTTCATTAGCATTTCAAAGGTGAAGAGGGACCCAAAACTTTACAAATATAATTTCTGAATGTGTTTAGGCTGAGTCCAAAACTAACATTGTATTTTAATGTCTAAAACACAACTCAATCACATTCATTTAATTTTTGTATGGTATGGTATGGTATCTTGGTTGTATTATACACAAATCATCATATAATAATGAATAAGATCTTCATATTTTACTTAACATTGTATGATGGGTTGTCTATAATTAAGAGTCAGAAGTTTTTTTGTAATAAATCCTAAAGCCGTACCCCATAATGGCATACTTTTAAACAATAGAGAAAAGATTCATGAAGGTTGTTTGGAAGAAAAGAAAAAGTAAAGAATATATTGAATAAAACAGTGAAACAAATTGAATTATGATTCATTTGTTGCACTTTAACATTTGTAATAAATCTATATACTCCCCTGCCACTAATGTTATTGATTTCCAAATAGGAGTTTATATTGATCCACATTCTGTTTATGTTACATTTGGATTATGTCCCTGAAATTATTTTTGAATTTCTTTTAAAAATATGTAACACATACATTATATTTGGGACACAAATTAATGCCTTTATAGTTATTTGATAACAGATCATTATCCCAATAAAAGATTCTGTAAATCACTTCCAGAAACTCGTAACTTTAAAAAGTGCTGCTTTTCTGTACCACTTTAAATGGGTATAATAGTGGATAGTGTGTGTGCGGGTGTTACACACCTACACACATACGGGTGTTAAGTTTACTTCATAATCTTGTTTTGATGTCTATGATCATGTAAGGGAGAAAAAATTTATATAGAGGAAGAACCTGATAATTATAGACTTTTGCTTTATAGTTCTAATATTGAACTATGTTAAACAATTCTAAGAATGTATACATTTGTAGCTAACACGTAAATTCAACTTCAGTAAAGAATAAAATATCATCACTAAAGATAATATTTAATATACAATATTATCTAGGCTTTGGAAAGGCCCTGCTTGTGATAATGGTCATCTACAAGAAGAAAAATATCTTTTCCTAGCCATTTCTTTCTTCAATTGCAATTTTGCACATTTTAAAAGAATTCTATCATTGTATGCATTAGGGTTCATCACAATAATAGTTAATCACAATAATAGGTTTTCTCAAAAGTGTGTTTTACAAAGTCAAAATCAGAAGCATCAAGGTAGCAAGCAAGAGTGGCATTGTTTAAATTACACTACGAGTCAAAGGAATGCAATGTGCCTCATCCTGAATTTGAAGCTGTTGTTCTTTAAAGGAAAAACAAATCTTCCTAAATTGCTTCATGGTCTTGATGGGACAGTTTTTAAGAATTCCATGTGTCTCATTTCCATTCCTCCAAAGTGGTCAGGCTATAGATAATAAAGCAGTTTGTTGCTGCCTCTAAAAGAGAAGGAGCAGCAATATATATAATGAACGGCTGCAGAGGCAAAATGTTATTTCAATCGACCTTGAGAAGAAAAAACAACCCCTAATTATGAAAACAACTATTCAAAAATGCCTAAAATGTTTAATATAACTGGCACACCACTGTTTATTCAATAGATTAGTGATACCCAGATTAGAAATGAAAAGAAAGAAAGAAAGAAATCACTGTAGGGAGAGAAGTTCTGTCATCCGGAGTGTCAAACATATACATTATTGGTGCTTTTCACAACCAATTCATTTGACTTAAGAGTAGGTAAGCAAGAAAAAGTCATTTCTGAACTGAAAAACTGAACTTAATTACCACACCTAGGGGTAAAAATATTGCTCATTCAATTCTATCCCCCTGCCCACCAAACATATCACGTCATGGCTTCCAGATGGGTCACCAAAAGCTAAAAGAGATTGTTTTCTTTTTGAGTGAAAAAAAAATAGAGTTCACATTGCAGACCACTTTTCTACAATCCAACTTTGAATATTTGTTTTAAAAACTGTAAAGTAAATGATTTGTAGGTAGAATAAGATGATGGAGCTTTATTTTGAAAAGTTGGTCAGAAAATCCAGGTTATCCAAGCTGTGCAATGTGCATTTGAAAAATATTTCCAGTGCACATTTTAGCTGATTTATTATGCATTATACTTTCTGGCAGATTAAGGCCCAATTTACCATTTCATTATAGCATGCACACACCATAAGACAAAACAAAAAACAAAAACATGTGGGTTGCAATTTGCTTGCCCACACCAACAAAACAAAAAGTACTAGACTTTCCAGACTTTTCAAATAGTATATGATTACCCCATGATCAATATCTAATGGAACATTAACAAGCACATTGGCCTGTGTCCCCCATTGAATTCCCCAAAGATTAGATTGGGTCACCTCTTTGCCCTCCTCTGACCCTGCTGGCTTCCACATACATGTCAGATACAATCAGGGAGGATCCACCGCGCCTCCTCTATCATTAGTTTTTGTGTTTCCTCCCCTCTTGTGTCAGCCCCCATCAACTCCAAATCTCCCCAGCCAGCCAAGTTTTTTTATTGAGCCGGTGCCAAGGATGATTGTTCTGGGGACACAGTCAGTGTGCCAACTGGGCATTGCCATTTCCAATTTTATTCAAGAAGGGGCACATGGAAATGTACCTCCGGCACATGTAAGTTGCCCCCAGTAAGCAAAGAGCTTGATCAAAGAGACCATTCCTTCTGTTTTTGAAGGCACACTCTCCTAGAAATCCATTCCAACCTTCTTTCTCCCTTCTTTCTTTCTGGGCTGGTTTGTCTGGCTATTAGTTCTACTCACTCCTTCCTGATACAGAACTCAGAGAGAGAGAGAGAGAGAGAGAGAGAACACCAGAATGCCTTCAATTTCCACCAGTCAACTATATTCACCGTTTCCCCCAAGTGCCAAATGGTCTGGAATTGGCACGCTGGACAACCCCAAGAAGCTCGTCACATACCTTGGTTTGGAGATAATGGGGATAGTAGTATGTGTACTGTGGGAACATTGGCTGCGGTTCCAAGCGTTTGCCCATGTAGCTAGAATCTTTATCTCGGATGCAGGGAACTCGTTGACAGGGAGTCGTGCCCCAGGCCTTTCTTCGGTTAAAACCACTATTCCTGACAGTCCTAATCAAGGTGGCTTCTTTCTTTTTTCCTCCCTCGGACTTCTTTGCCTTCACTAGGTCCAGTCGCGTCAACCGCCGCAAAAATTAAAAATAAGATTTTTTTTAAAAAATCAAAACATCGAAAAGGGGGAAACAGGTCTTGCTTTGCTTTGCTTTGCTTTGCTTTTCTCCGCCCGCCCCGTTAGAGCGGGACCCCCCGCCTTCCTCCTGCTCTTAAGTAATGTCAATTGCCAGGGTCTGGAGAGGGGTGTGTGAACCGGGAGGGGGTGTCAGTCCTTTCGGAGAAAACAGCAAGACGAGGGAAGTCCGGATCTCCTCAGATCGGCTTCCTCGCGGTTTCTCACGATCCCTCACCCGCTTACTAAAAAGAGAAAAGGAGGGGGTGGGAAGGAAAAGCTCTAAAAAAAAAAAAGAAAGAAAGAAAGAAAGAAAAGAAAAGAAAAGAAAAGGAGGGAGGCATGACGGAAGGGAGCGCGTCCTCGCTCGCCCCAGCCTAGTTGCTGCGGTCGCCCTCACGGAGGGACCCGAGGTATTGGGGCTTTTCTTCTCTTTTATTCAAACCCCCTCCTTCCAGTCGGTGGGTGGAACTACAACAGCTAGCTTCTCCCTCGAGAAGGAGACGCAGTCCAGAAGCCTGCAGTATTTCCTACTCAAAGAAGCAGGCGCGCTCCAGCCCTTGCTGCAAGGAAAACCCCGCTTCCTCTGCTGGCTATTATAGAAAGCGGAGCAGTTTTGCTGCCGCCAAAGCCGCCGAGATGGGGGGTGGAGGGGGGGGAGCTGTGGCTCAGCCTTCCCCCTTCTTCGGCGAGTCTTCCCAAAGTTAGCCGCTCTAAGAACAGCGCGGGCGTTTCAGAAAGTCGAGACAGAAAAAACCGGAGCTTGCTGTTTAAGAACACTTCCACTCCAAACGGTCGCTGATACGGCTCACAACCTTTATTGGAAAGAAGCTGCCAGAGTTCCTCTACTGGAGATAATCCTTCCCAATTAGCGGCTGGACCTTGGAAACTGTTGAAAGAAACCGAATGAAAAAATTCGGTCTCTTTGGTGTTTGTTTGTTTTTAAATTCAAAAGCTAACGAAAACAACATTTCCAAGCCTTTCAAAACAGTGCTTGCAAAAAGGAATTCACACAAAAAATATCTGGAGCGGAGATGCTACAGTGTTATTTTTTTCAAATGACAACATTTTTCCCAAAAAAAATTAAAAATGATTTTTAAGATGGTTCTCAAAATGATTATTAAAAATCACTTACCTCCTGTTTAGTGAAGATTTGATATATAATAAAAATGATCACAAAAAATGGATTCCGTTATTTAAGGAAACTGCTTTTATTTAGTTAAGTAGCTATAGATCTGCTTAGGATGTGTTGTCTCATCCTCTGCCATCCCTGTGCACCTATCCTCCTCATATCTTCACCAGCAAGATCTCCAACACCAGTCTAGATAACTCAACAACTGGGGGCGGGGGGGGGGGGCGGTTTACACAATTCTGGGAAAAGGCAGCACAAGGAAAGGCAGACAGGCCTGTCCTGTGGAGCACCTTTTTGTCTTCAGATCCAAAGTGCAGCATCACCCTACTTCATACAATACAACGATCATTGAGAAAGATATAACAACATATGCACCAACGGTAAGCTTGGTTAATTTTGCCTTTAGTTAGTTTGATATGGATTGGTATAAAGTCCAAATCCAGAAAATTGGTTTATTTTTGGTATTTATATTAAGGATATTGTATGACTAGGCTACCGGTCACAAACTAATTTATTACATTTTAAGCTACTATATTTGCAAATCCAGCCATAGACTGGTACAGAGTCACGTTGTGAGATCTTTAGATGGGTAAAAATTGAACAAGGATCTTTACATTGGTCACTACACTGTTTTTTTTAATATTCATTCAAATCCATGTAATAACTTACTGGGACTATTCTTAACAGCTGTATTGACAGGCAATGTAGATTAACTGAAGCAAGGAATTTTCTATCTCCATTGTGCAACAGAAATATAGAATCATCAGTTACAGTTTGCTGCAAGTACACCTGGCAGTCATTCAGTTTTTTAAAATATTATTAATGCTAAAAGGGCATAATGTTCCATTTTGCATTAAGTTTTTTGGCCTCTGATAGGAAATCTTTAAATCCTAAATATGCCTACTAAAAATAGTCACACTGAATTTAAAAAAAAATTCTGTACTTTCAAATTTTTAAAATTAGGGTTACAGACTACGGTAGTTTGTTTTATACATCCTATTGGTTGAAGTTACCCAGCACTACATAATGCCTTTAAAATCCAGAAAACCATACATGATTGGTTTGATAAACTAAGGGGCGCAATCATTTGATTTTCCAATAATGCAGTTTGTGATGATCATTGGTGATTGTAGCATGCTTATCACTGGTTATTTTTCACTAAAGATTATTTAAAAGAAAAGATCAGGTGTGGGGGGAGAAGAAAAGTGTCAGTGGTACACTGATTGTCATAGGTAGCTGACAATTCAGGCTTCACATCATACTGTGGAATGCCACTCAAAATTGGCAATTGTGTTGAACATAGGGGCTCATTAGATATAGAAAGTATTCCAAATAATAAATTCTGTTTTATATCTCTGAGATTTTGTCATTTCCAAAGGATTTTGTTTTGTATAGGATGTTTGCTCTTCATTATTTTTTGGTGGATTGGAATCTGACTTCTCTGATGTTAGGAATTAAGATTAAGATTACAGTAGTAGAGAATGTAAACCATTTGTTTTCTCTATAGATTATGTTGAGCATGTTTTAACAAAGGGATCTTGAATTGTATCAATTTGGCATGGCCTTATTCAGTTAATAGCCACATTCTGTCTTCAGCTCCTGTGACTTCTACCTTATTAGCAGATTCTGAAAGCAGAGAACCCAATTAAAGACCATTCTCATTATGTGTGAGGGAACTTGCAGCTGTTTATTTCAGTTTTGCTATCTAGGCAGTAAAATCTGTGGCATAACACATCTAAGACAGTTGTCTCCATAGAGACGTTTACCCCCAGGGAAAGCACCTCTACCAACACTTTAGAAACGATCTTGTTTCCTACATAAATGTGGTTATGCTAAGGGAAAACTAATATATACAGAGCAAGTGGGACCACCTGCAGCAAAATATTTCTGTATGTCTTAGCATTTTCACTTATGCTGTTTTCCAAAATACTCCATTCCATCCACCTGCTTTTTCTGTCTCCCATCTTCAACTATCAATTTGTGTAGCTAGCTGATAAGCATGCTCTGTCTAGTAGGGCAGCCTTGCTCGAAATATCTGATCTGTATCATCATTTGTTTTTCTACACGGCATTGTTTTACTGAACATAATAATCTTCATGTCTGAAGGTGATAGAACTAAAAATGAGTTCTAAAAAATATTCAGTACTAGAACAATTGTGAACATTCATCACAATACTGCATTTTAATAATATAGTTTTGGCAGTGAGTTGTTAGATGAAAATTATGAGAATTATGGTCTAAACCATTGGCAAAAACATGAGATTAGGAAAGCTGGGACAGGGGTATGAGAAGCGGAGGGGAGATATAAAAAACTCAATATGTCAGCTTTCATTGCATGAGCACCATCTTGCTTTAGGGTGTTTCGTTTTTAGGGTCCTTTGTAGATATGTCTGACTAGAATAAGTCAACTCTATTTTTCAAACTATTATGTGTAGAGAATAATATCATAGAAAAGAGGCTATCTGATTAGAAGAGTAACTATCTTGTGAGCTGCACCACAGTTGACACTACAAACAAAGATTATATAGGTAAACTCTGCTCTTTAAAGTCACCAAAGCTCTTTTTTTATTGAAAGAGTTTTACAAATACAAATTTTCCCCCTTTCCCCCCCTTTCCCTCCCTAACCCTCCCCTCCCCCCATGGCTTCCCCAGGATGAAGTCCAAATCCAAATCATGTTATATAATACTATACCGCCCGTCTACTCTACCCCCTGTGTATTATATATTTCTTGCTGACATTCTAGTATACTATCCCCTGTAAATTATACCTTTCTAGACAGCATTCATCTAGGAATTATCTGGTACTTCCTAATTTAGTATTTATTCTACACATAATCTATCCATATCCTCCACTCCCTTACATAAATCTCTTGTGTCCGGTCTTTTATATATGCTGATAACTTCACCATTTCTACAAAACTAGCCACCTTCAGAGTCTGTTCTTCAATAATTAACATAACATCCCTTTTCCAATATAACCTAGCCTATCACCATATACCATATCAATTTTATTTCACCCACTTTCCCGCAGGTCCGCCATATATAATTGTTTACAAAATCTAAACAATCACATCAAATCCTCCTTCCAACAGAGTATTTAGTGTCTTTAGTTGCCATCTGCCCCCATCATTGAAAAATACTTTTATGTATAACCCCCCCCCCGAGTGACTTTATATTTATATTCCATATGATATCTTCTGCAAAGTCTTCCATCTAGATTATTAATTCCATCGACCATGTTAGGGTGACAACCAGACCAACTGCAAGTGCCCTTGTTCCGTAGTCCTCTTGCCTCATAATTATTCCCTTCAATGTACACATAATCCATCTTTCTTGAAATCTATAATAGAAAGTTCCAATTCACTCGATTACAGGCCTTCTCCATATACTTAAACACCAGCACTGCAGGGATCTGTTTATTCTTCTCAAGATAGTCCAATAAGTCTATGATTTGCCTTGCATTATCTTTCATATATCTGCCTTCTATAAGTCCTACATAAACATAAATCGGTTCTTAGATAACTGGCATTGATGTGTTGGGTAATAGTTTTACAAAAATTTTATAATCCATTTTCAAAAAAAAATATTGATCTAAAACTTTCTAGTTTTGTGGAACCTGCTTTTTTTCTTGCCTTGTGCTGGCTTGAACCTCTGCTGTTGTTGTTTTTCTGGAATTTGTTTGTATGCTGTTCGAGTTGTATGCTGATCTTTAACTTTGCAGGACATCAGATCAAGATCCAAAGCCGCTTCTCTTGTGTTTTTAAGTGATCCACCTAAAACCTTTAAAGGATGATCCAAGCGCAAGTCATCCAAAGAGCCCCGTGTAGTTCCTTGTATTATTGGCTCCACCTCCATCTGCTTCCACTGGACTTCAGTCTTTTGTTCAATTTGCTTTTCTTTATCTCCCTTCTGTATCCCTGACATTGACAATATACATGGAGATGTTGAGCCAATTTTAAAAACATTGCGATAAAATTCTTCCGCTTTTTCAACAGTATTTAATCGGTATCTTTCTCCTTGATACGTCAATCTTATGCAACTGGGACATCCCATCTATATGGAATCTGTTTTTTCTTTAGTTCAGTCACCAAAAATCCAAAATCTTTTCTGTCTTTTAACATCTTAGGCGGCAACTCTTTGTAAATCCCAATCTGCCTTCCATCCACTTGTAGGGTAGAAACAAAAGACTTTTGCAAGATGTCATTTCTTATTCTTTTATCTGTAAAATATATCACTACATCTCTGGGCAATTGCCTTTGCCTTGCCACCCAGGAATTCACTCTATAAATCTTATCTAATTTTAGACAAAACCTCTTCAGAGCTGACCTGTAACATCACAGCCAAAGCATCAGCAGAAATCCTTCTCAAATCTCTGTTGTTTTCCTTTATCCCCCTCAGTCTTACAGCAGATTCCATAAATTTGAGCTACATCATTGTCACTTCATTTTCAATCCTTTGCATTCTATTGTCCACATTATAAATCTTATAATCAATTTCCTTCATTTTAGAGTCTACTTCTAAATTGAATTCTTCCATTTTTTTTATCAATCTGGATAATTACTTCTGAGAAGCCAGTCAGGACTGTCAAAATATCTCGTTTCATCTTATCATGCTTTTCTTGAACCAACTCCTTGGTTTCCTGTTGAAATT